CACAATGCCAGTGCCTTGGCGACCTCTATAGTCACTGTGTGTATTCCAAATTTCTGAATGCCACATGGCTGTAGCAAGCAACAAATTCCCAACATAATCCATATGCGCGCGCACACACACACACACACACACACACAGCAACTGCTTCATGTAGTGGCTGTCATGCTACATAGCAAGTCACCATCTGGATTGCACCTGCAGACCCTCTAAGTGTTCTCCTATTTTCCAGGGACAGTCCTGGATTTGCAGAAGCCATCTCAGCTTCTGATTTGATCATGGAATGTCCCTCTTTTCCTTAGGACATTCCTATTTTCACCAGAGAAATGTTGGAGGGTATGGAGTTATGTGAGCCCTGAGCCAAGGAGATAAGAAACTATACAACTTTTAGAAGACATCTGAAGGCAGCCGTGTATAGGGATGTTTTTGTTTTTAATGTTCAATGTTGTGTTATGCTTTTATATATGTTGGAAGCTGCCCAGAGTGGCTGGGGCAATGCAGTTAGATGGTTGGGGTTTAAATAATAATTATGGATAATTGTTGATAATGGAATAGGACATGCCTATTTTTATCAGAGAAATGTTGGAGGGTATGCGAAGAGTCTCCAGTATGCCACTGTTGTTCTTGAGTAACTGTGTGGACAGGTGCTGTGGTCTAAACCACTGAGCCTCTTGGGCTTGCCGATTGAATCCCTGCAACGGAGTGAGCTCCTGTTGCTCTGTCCCAGCTCCTGCCAACCTAGCAGTTTGAAAGCACACCAGTGCAAGTAGATAAATAGGTACTGCTGTGGCAGGAAGGTAAACGGCGTTTCCGTGTGCTCTGGTTTCTGTCACGGTGTTCCGTTGCGCCAGAAGCGGCTTAGTCATGCTGGCCACATGACCCGGAAAGCTGTCTGCAGACAAACGCCAGCTCCCTTAGCCTGAAAGCGAGATGAGCGCCGCAACCCCATAGTCGCCTTTGACTGGACTTAACCGTCCAGGGGTCCTTTACCTTTTTTACAACTAGCACACTTGTTTAGTGACATGGAGCCTCAGACCCAGGAACTGAATATGGCCCTCCAGTCCTCTGAAACTGACCCTCCTTTGTACCCCAAGAGTTTTTGCCTGACTGGAACGTGTCCCTGAACTCTTGCTTGTCATAATGGATGATAGGGAGGGGTTTGTGGAAATGAGCCTGCTGTACAAAGAGAAAATTCGCATACATTGCTGTGCTCACTTTTACTTTTGGCCCCGCCCACCACTTACCTATGGCCCTTGGAAGGCTAATCAGAAGGCAACATGGCCCTCATGCTGTAAAAGTTTCCCCACCTCTATGGAGCCAAGAGTTTCAGCTTAATGTCCGTGCGATCTATGCTGACTGTAGAACAAGGCTGCGCAGACATTTTTGAAATACGAATTCGGTTGGTTTTGACCCATTTCCTTCACGGTCACCTCAGACCGATGGAAGTTGTCGCTCCCTAGCAATCCTACAGTAAATAAGGAGTTAAGTGCTGGCAGAAAGATGCTGGAAGGAACATCTTGAATTTGTTTGCCACTAATCTAGAAATGCAGAGATTTCCTTAATTCTCAACAAATTTTGGTCCCCCTCAACAACATATGTGGTAAAATGTTACGGGCATGTGTGGAAAAGGAGTTTTAAAAGGCTTACTTTTTCCATAGTTAAGCCCATTGTTATCCTCCAAATTGTAATCTTATCATGTATACAAGCTGTTCCATATAAATAGACCCATGTATATTTTCAGTAGTTTCAGCTGAAACCCGTTAAGAGCAGATGTGCATATGGTTGGCTGGCAAGGATCCCTCTAAAATGTATTTTTCCGTTAGCAGAGTCCGTCCCCCCCCCCCCTCGAAACCATCCCCTTCCCTTCTCTGTCCTAGGGAGGGCTGGCGGGGAGGAGAGAAGAAAGGAGGAAAGTGGTTTCGTTCATGATTAGAACAAATCTCAAAATGTTTTTGAAGCTGGCTTGGTTCGTGACGTTTATTTACGGGCCTTTGTGAACTTGACGTGCTGAGCAAAAGGTGCCTAGAAATTTGTTAGCCCAGGGGACATCCTTTCCCAACCTCTCCGCTTCATATTGCTATCTCAGGCTGGGATTCTCAGGCATGATAGAGGTGTCTAAGGTTATTCACGTCGTGAATAAGGTGGCTAGAGAGAAGTTTTCCTTCCCCCATAGCAGTGGAACCTGGGGCCATCCAATGGAGATGAATGTTGGAAGATTCGGAACAGGCAAAAGAAAGTACTGTATTTTTTGCTTTATAAGACTCACTTTTCCCCTCCTAAAAAGTAAGGGGGAATGTGTGTGTGCATCTTATGGAGCGAATGCAGGCTGCACAGCGATCCCTCTTGCTGTTCTGGCTTCTGGGATTCAGAATATTTTTTTCCTTGTTTTCCTCCTCCAAAAACTAGGTGCGTCTTGTGGCCTGTTGCGTCTTATAGAGTGAAAAATACTACTTCTTCTGTTCAGCGCATAATTAAACTGCTGAATTCGCTTTTGCCAGGGCTGTGTGCGCATCAGTGGCTCAAAATGCAGCTAGGCCGTTCTTTCCCTCAATTCAGATTTAAGTTGGTTTGGGGTAAAGCACGCCAAACACAGCATTTCATAAGAAGCAACAGTATTGATATAGGTTGCATTTAACGCTGTGCGTACACTGCTTCCTAAACCGGTGGTATATGCACACACCCTCTGTGTAAGTGCAGTGGAACCTTGGTTCTTGAACTTAATCCGTTCCAGAAGTCTGTTCGACTCCCAAAACAGTTCAAAAACCAAGGTGAGGCTTCCAATTGGCTGCAGGAGCTTCCTGCCCTCAAGCGGAAGCTGCATCAGACGTTCGGTTTCCGAAAAACGTTCAGAAACCGAAACACTTCCTTCTGGATTTTTGGCGTTTGGGAACCGATTTGTTCGTCAACTAAGCCATTCAGGAACCAAGGTTTGACTGTATTTGCACTCAGGTGCCGGTAAGATTTGAGGCTGCTCACCAAACTCTCCAGGGATAAAGCTGCCCTTGCGGCAGGCAAAGCTTATCATTGTTTCTGAGCTACAAGCCGAAAATCAACAGATGCAGCCCCCCCCCCCGTTGCATCTCCAAGTTGGGAAAAGCTTGCCCATCATCCTGCAGACATAGGTGCTCTGGCAGTGGGGGCTGGAGGAAGGTAGCAACAGGTGCCACGGATGATATCAGCATCGAAAAAGAAATGGTGGAAGTACCCTTTCCTTATGTCCTTGGTCATTTCCCATGCTGCAACAGGAAAAAGTGATAAGCAGACCTTTTGAGGTGAGCTCTCCATCACACCTGTCAGTGTTGTGGATGGGCAGGAAAACAGCTAAGCCCTCTTGCGCCAGACAGGTTTGGTGTGCAGGGATATTCACCGGATCCCCTTAATAACTGCTGTGTGAGCACACCTGTGACTATGCCCGCCCTCACAAATAGAGATACACAAAGGAACCTGCTGTGGGTCAGACCATTTTTCCAGCTGCCTACTCAGACTAGCAGTGGATGACCAGGGTCTCTGGCAGGGAGCCTTTCCTCATCACCTGCTGGCTGGCTGGCTGGTTTATTTATTTATTTAAATTATTTTGAAAAAAGTAATAATAATAAATAATAATAAAAGTAGAAGAAGAGTTTGGATTTAATACCCCACTTTATCAGTACCCGAAGGAGTCTCAAAGCGGCTAACATTCTCCTTTCCCTTCCTCCCCCACAACAAACACTCTGTGAGGTGAGTGGGGCTGAGAGACTTCAGAGAAGTGTGACTGGCCCAAGGTCACCCAGCAGCTGCATGTGGAGGAGCGGGGAAGCGAACCCGGTTCACCAGATTACGAGTCCACCGCTCTTAACCTCCCCGGGACCATTCTATTGTAACTATCCAACCTCCCAAAATTTCAACACTTCTTGCGATGGTTTGACCCCTTTCCGTTTTAACAGTACAAATTCTACAAACACCTTCCATATCTCCTCAGAATCATTTCTCCTGCACATTCCCCGTCATACCTTAATAGCACATGTTAATTTATCATTAATAGCCAAATCCCACACCTCGTTATGCCATGCTTCCATTTTATATTCTGCTTGCCCCTTCCACTTCCTAGCTATCATAATTCATGCAACTGTCAATAAATTTGTGAGCCAGTCCTTCATGGCCTGCGAACCTTCCACCCCGTCATAAATTGATAATTATGCTACCTGGGGAATTTCGGTCAGCTTTAACCCAGTGATTTCTGTTATCTCCTGAAACACTGTTTGCCTAAAAAATTGTACATATTTACACCTCCACCACATGTGAATGTAAGTCCCGTACCCGATTCTTTTAATCTGGAGATACCAAGGTCTGATCCTGCAATCTTCTGCATAAAATGCATGTGCTCAGATTCTGAGCTCTGGCCTCCTCCACTAATCATAATGATTTGTAGTTCTGCCCTCAGGGGCTTCTCGGCGGACTCAACCTAAAAATGTAAAATGTAGATGTGAAAAGAGGTGTTTGGAAATCTAAGTATCATACTGTGATTGGTTATGGTTCATTCTTGAGCGTACACCATATAGATGTAATTTATTTAAAATATTTTAGACCCATTTTCATAGCTAAACCGTGTCTAAAGCACTATAAGGAGAAAGAAGAGAAATTAGAACAAAATTTCAAAATGTGGTTTGTCATGTTTTTGTTATGTATTTTTGTGTTTTTTATATTGTAATTTTATGTTGTGAACTGCCCTGAGGTCTACGGATGTACAATACAAATTGTAATAATAATAATAATAATAATAATAATAATAATAATAATAATAATACTTGGGCATTACACTGAGTTACACACTTGGGTTTGTTGTTATTTAATGCCTGAACTGGCCCTTAGCCAGCTCTTGAGTTTTGTCTTGTTCGATGCCCTGATCATGAACCCAGAGTTGTGGGTACTTAATCAACGTGGTTCCGATTAATGAAGTTTGAATCTGCAAGCCAATGCTTTGCCCGCCACATTTAATTATTTTTCCCTTTTCTGGTTTTCAGGTCATCCTGCTGATGCACACAGGTCCCATTGCCTTGTCTTGCATCATGCCATGTCTCCAAACCACATGCTTTCACCCAGAACAAGCGGTTCTCTCCTCACTGCCTGGGAAACAGCAGCTATTTCAAAAGAGGTACTTCTGCGTGGCTAAAAATATCACGAAGTGCAGGAGGGTGCACATTAGTGCAGCAACGTCAAGGGGGGGGGCCACGAAATGGAGTTGCTTTTCCTCGTCTGGAAAAAAACAACAACCCACACACACACACAGATGGCATGTCAATCAACAAGGAACCTGGGCTAATTGCTCCCAAGGAAATGGCTGATCTTGTTACTAATGGTACAGTTTCAGCTGTGTGCTAATATAATAGAATGAGGTCACAGCACATTATCAGGGCTACGTCCTTGAACAGTTGGTACCGGGAGACCTTGCATCAACTCACGTAAAAATTTGGGAGTGGGAGCTGTGTTTTTGGAAGTTACAGAACTGTCATTTCATGAGTCAGTTGGCAGTAGTTGCTTTCTTTCTTTTTAAGAAGCCTCTAGTCATTTAGTCTTCTGTTCTGCTGATTTAAATGGTGCTTATTGGTAAGTGCTTGGCAGTAAGTGAGCGAAGACTATAAGGTGGTGTTTGGCTAAACAGGAGCTTATACAGCAGAAACAGGAAGTCTGTGGCTCTCTGGTTGTTGCTGGACTACAAATCCCATCATTCCTGACCATTGGCTGGGCTGTGCTGGAAATGATGGGAGTTGAAGTCTAACATCTGGAGGAACACACTCCCCCCCCCCCTAGTTGTATACAGTAAGTGGCTAGGATAGTACGTGTCTTGTGGATAGCCAAGAACAGTTTCAACAATTTGTTGCCTCTGCATTATTCCAAACATTATCTTGTTCATAGGGATGGAATCTCAAGGTTTTGAAAGATTTGTTTTGGCAGCCTATGGACTTCTGAGCCCAGTTTAAGGTGCTGGTGCTTATCTTTTTAAAGTCTTAGGTGGCTTGGCACCAAAATACCTGAAGACCTATGCCTTCAGGAAAGGCCTTGTTCCAAGTACTCTCTCTAGCAGAGGTATGCTGTGCCTTCTGCAAAAGAGAGATCCTTTTCTGTGTTGGCCCCCTGACTTGTATCAACCTCTATAAGGGATGCACACCTGGTTGTCAACATGACAGGCCTTTCAGTGCCGGGTGAAGAACTTCCTGCTTTTAGCTTTCCGGGTTCATATTTTCTGTTGTATTTCATTACATTTATTCGTTGGTTTTTACATTGTAGTTCTGTGTTGTGCTAATTTTATCCGCACGCTTGTACACTGCTAAGAAATGTGGCACAAATAAGTAAACAAACGAGCAAACAAAGGCGATAGGCCCAAGAATATGTGACTTGTTTTACCTTTCGTGCCTTTTAATTGCCTTATGGAACATCATGGGCGTAGCCAGCATTTATGAGGGGGGCAGGCTTCATGGGGGGGGCAGAACCTCAGTTAGTTAAGTGTTTTTATTGATTTACTTGATTGGGGGGTCAGCTCTCCCTCTGCTCCCCCTTGGCTTTGGGAATACTGTCATAACTTGGTTTTTGAACGCCTTGTGACTTGAACGTTTTGGCTCCCGAACGCCGCAAACCGCAAAAGTAAGTGTTCCAGTTTGTGAACTTTTTTTGGAAGCCGAACGTCTGGTGTGGCTTTCGTGGCTTCCAATTGCGTGCAGGAAGTTCCTGCAGCCAATCGGAAGCCGTGCCTTGGTTTTCGAACATTTTCGGAAGTTGAACGGACTTCTGGAACGGATTCCGTTCGATAACCAAGGTACAACTGTACTCTTCCCCGCTCCTTTTGAGGCATTTATATGAGAACAGTGAGCACAGTACAGCGGTCAGTGTGTGGAGGTTGAGACCACCAGTGGCCTCATGAAACAGAGAAAGCCGGTAGTGCGTGCAGAGCTGATTCACAGTTTTCTCACCAGCAGGATTTTGCTGACTCAATCAAGAGTCCCCCCCCCTTTTCCCCAGTTGCTGGAACTGGAGAACGTAAAGCCCAGTTGTCTGCATGTACGACATGAGCTCATGTGCGTCACTTCTCTGCTTTTTCTAAGATGCATTGACATGAAAGAAATTAATGTACCCTTTCATGTTTAGAAGAGAAGCTCTGTGCATTCTAATAAAAGGTAAAGGTACCCCTGCCCGTACGGGCCAGTCTTGCCAGACTCTGGGGTTGTGCGCCCATCTCACTCAAGAGGCCGGGGGCCAGCGCTGTCCGGAGACACTTCCGGGTCACGTGGCCAGCGTGACATTGCTGCTCTGGCGAGCCAGAGCCGCACACGGAAACACCGTTTACTTTCCCGCTAGTAAGCGGTCCCTATTTATCTACTTGCACCCGGGAGTGCTTTCGAACTGCTAGGTTGGCAGGCGCTGGGACCGAGCGACGGGAGCGCACCCCGCCGCGGGGATTCGAACCGCCGACCTTTCGATTGGCAAGCCCTAGGCACTGAGGCTTTTACCCACAGCGCCACCCGCGTCCCTTGTGTGCATTCTAATAGGCACTTGCTTATTATGGGAGTGTCTCTACCCCCACCATTCTGCCCGGACACTGAGGTCCAGCGCCGAGGGCCTTCTGGCGGTTCTCTCACTGCGAGAAGTGAGGTTACAGGGAACCAGGCAGAGGGCCTTCTCGGTAGTGGCACCTGCCCTATGGAACGCCCTCCCACAAGTGCATTCTAATAGGCACTTGCTTATTTTAAGATTGCAGCTTCCTGGCCAAAGGCAAATGCGTGCTACACATGCTTAAAAGTGCTTGGTTCCGTTTGGCAAAGTGGCACTTTGTATATGCTCAGATACATCTAGTTTGAGGTGTCAGAATTTTTGCTATCTGGAGGTTGGAACCCTATCTTCCCTCTGAGAGAGCAGGAACATTGGCGTCCCCCTCTGCCTATGTTAGATCTCAAAGCCAGAATGATGGTGGATATTCCATTTCCCGCTTTCCCGGGGAGAAGGATACCTAGAGACTCAAAAGGATTCCTTAAGAATGGCAATTCTAACAAGCCGCACTAAAAGTGTTTTACAAAGGCACCGCCCAAATTTTCCAAAATAGGGTCAAGAATTTACCAGGGGCAGGAACCAGACTGTTGGAAATCTCTCCCATAAATGGAGACCGCTGGAGTCTTGGAGTTGCCCAGAGACCAAATACACCTGTAGCATTGGTCCTTCGACGAATGGTCTAGGGTGTGATTTGTTCCATTAAATGGCATTTCTTTGTAGAGCAGATTGATATCAGGAATATAGGATCAGACTGTAGAAGAGATGAATCACTCAGCTCTTCTTTATGATAACATCCTTTCCTTCGCCCTCACCACACACCCAGCCTGCAGTCTTCTCAGATCTTGAAGAGCGAAGGGATTTTTTTGCGAAGCTGATACGGAAAGAACATGTGAAGAAGAAAAATGTTTTGTTTATTCTTTTAAAAAAGAGAGAGAGAAACCTCAATCCGGTGTGTGTTGTTTCTGAAATTCCAAGGTCCCCTGTATTTTTAAAAGGTGGTGGTTTGGGGTTTTGCAAACGTTGTCCTCATATGAGTTTATTCATATGATAAATAAGATGTTCATAAATAAGATGTTCATACAAACAGTGGTATTCTTTCCTAGCACAACAGGAGAACAGAGAATTGCCAGGCCAGAGGCTAACAGTGGAATGGCTTTCCCTGTATGGAACATCCATACAGATGCAAATCCCTGCTCAGTTTTCCCACTCCCTGGGTATACTTTGGTCCAGATATCAATTGCTCTGCTTAACCTGCTTTGACACTCGTTACAAAAATTAATGAAGTACAGTGGTACCTTGGGTTACATACGCTTCAGGTTACATACGCTTCAGGTTACAGACTCCGCTAACCCAGAAATATTACCTTGGGTTAAGAACTTTGCTTCAGGGTGAGAACAGAAATCGTGCTCTGGTGGCGTGGCAGCAGCAGGAGGCCCCATTAGCTAAAGTGGTGCTTCAGGTTAAGAACAGTTTCAGGTTAAGAACGGACCTCTGGAACAAATTAAGTACTTAACCTGAGGTACCCCTGTACAAGCACCCGCCACTTACGCATGATTGATTCACCTGCGCTCACGTATATGCGCGGCGCCAGGAAATCAATCAATTCAAACCTGGAAATGGCAAGAGAGAGCTGGAAAGTCCTCGTGGCTTGCAAGGAGACCCTCTCCAGAGCCTGAAGAAGTCAGTGAGCCAAAGTCTAGAAACAAATGTTTAAAAGGCTTTGTAAAAAAACCACAAAAAAACTTATGGGCTCCAAAATGGCGCACAGGAACTCTCGCTGCTGCTGCGGTACCCTGCTCAACAGCTTTTGGGAGGGTTGCATCAGGCAACTCACCACCTTTTAAAATGCAAAACAGTTGGGGAAACTTGGGTTTAACGAAGCACGGAGTGGTCGAGATGCCTGTGACAGTGGGACCATATGGCCAATCCCAACCAACCGTAGTTGCTTTGACAGAGTGAAAATGGGCTTCATGATGGGCTTTGCTGTTGGTATGGCAGCAGGTGCACTGTTCAACACATTTTCTTGTCTCAGGTTTGGCATGAGAGGGCGATGACTGTTGGGTGGTGTTGGCCAAACCATGTTGCAGAGTGGTGGAACTTTTGGGACATTTGTGGCAATTGGCATGGGAATCCGCTGTTAATGTTACTTTTCTATCACGAAGACCAGTGCCCTTGCAAGTTGGAAGTTCTGCTATGTAGTAGAATAAAAATCTCTGCACCAAGATTGAATAATCCATCAAAATAAGTTTCGGCCTTTATTGCTGTAGCAAGAGTTTGTAAATCTTTTTCTCCATAACAAAAGTGGCAAAGGCAGTGGAGATTTAGAAGCAATGGAATCTCTGTACACAATGGATCTCCATGGATGTGACCTCAAATAATGATCAATTATAGGAATCATTAAAAAAATGCAAAACAGTTTGAGGCTCCGGTATCTGAAGGACCTCTTTTTCCTGCACGAATCTGCACATGAATTAAGATCGTCATCAGAGGCCTTTTTTCTGCTTGTGCAAACAAAGACCCACCACTACCATCTTGGGAAGTGAGATAGACAGGGCCTTGTAGATTGTGGCTCCCTGACTTTTGAATGCTCTGCCCAGGTGAGGCCTGTCTGGG